GTCATTCTTGAGGAATGGTTACATGTATGTAATATAGCCTTTTTAAACAATTTTAATAGCTTTCCCCTTTCCCCCTCTATTTCCTGTTTTCATTCTTGTTGGTAGTATTAATCTTAGCTCATGTTGGACTCAGGACATAAGAGAACCTGTACTGTAACACAGTGATGTCCCAGATTTTCTAATCAAGGAGACTATGGGGCCACAGAGGAAAGTGATGAGGTAGAGTGTGCCTAAGGACAGTCACCTGGAGAGAAAACATTCTCTCAGGCTTTCACAGAAAGCTAACTGGTCAAGCAATGGCCATGACTCATCCACATGGCTGACACTGACAAAAGATCTACAAACTGCTGTACAGGGTTTCAGGGTAAATTCTGAGGAGATTTGACTGACCTTGTCAGATACAAAAGTTACATTTCTTGTTATATAGGTCTTGATTTATCTTGGCCTTAACCATCCTGCAGAAAAGTATAACAATGAAGTATAAAAAGTAAAGCCATATTAATATGCTGAGCTATAAAAGACTCAAGTCAACAACTTCTGACGTTGCCAGTCATGTGGATATCCCACTACTATTGTAGACTACTGGACTGTATTGGATTACTTTGCTGAATTCATGAACCTACAATATATGAATGGCAATGGAATACCCATTTCTGACAAAAGTAAACAAAAAAGGGGGATATAAATGAAGGACCATTTTTGTAGTGAAAAAAAATATATATGTATATTCAAAATAGGTATCGTAGATATACAGCTACTTTCTCTTAGTTTGATGAGAAGGAAGTTTTGAACCAATAGTGTTTAGTCAAGATATCATGTCTGTATCTTGTACTATGAATAACTACTACAAAGACAACAATATGCAATGTATTAATTATTGTAACTTTCTTATTAACCTGTTTTGAAAGTGTCTCATTGCTACTTCTTTCTCAATAAAAGTAATATATAAAAATAAAATTTAAAAAATCTTAGCTCATGTTATAGTATATGATGTTAATAGTCATTGATGAGTTTATTATCTTTCTTTACATGGCTTATCTAATTCTTATTTTCCCTACGTCTCCCCTTTACCCATTCATCCCATAACCTTATTCCCTGTGACCACTAACCTGTTGCAAGAGATGGCATCTCCTTGTCCCCTTCTATCCATTTTTTTATTACTCTGTCCTTTCTTTCACTCAAGTGAGAAATATCATATTGTATTTAAGCTTGTGTCTGGTTTATTTCACTTAACATTATATTGTCCAGATACATCCAATTTTCCTATACGTCTCAAATTTGTCATTGTTTATATCTGAATGGTATTCTGTTATATATAGATACCACATTTTCTTATCTGTTGATAAATATACAAAGCTGCTTCCTGTACTTAGTTATTGCAAATTGTTCTGCTATTAATATTACTATACAGGTATCACTGAAGTATGATATCTTAACTAAGCTGTTTAGGAAAGGCACTTAGGGGATAGCTGTGACCTGGGGAATTTCTACCTAAAGTTCTTCAAGGATTCCCCATACTGATTTCCATAACGGTTATACTAGCTTATATTCTCACCAACAAAGTAGGAGGGTTTCTTTTTCACCATAGCCACCCCAGCATTTGTTATTGTTTGATTTCTTAATGATTGTCATTCTTTCCAGAGTAAAATGTATTCTTTGCATTCTTTAAATTTGCATTTCTCTAATGGCCAGAGATGTTAAACATGTTTTCTTTTATTTGTTGACCATTTGTATTTCTCTGTGAATTGTTTCTCTTTCTCATTATTTAATTGGGGCTTTCATTTTAGGTGGTTTAATTAGTTTTGAATTCTTTATATACTCTAGATATTAGTCCTTTGAGGAATACTTGGCAAAAGGTTTTTCTCATTGTGTATATTGTCTCTTTGTTATACTAATGGACTGTTTTGCTATACAAAAGCTCTGTAGTAGTTTGATACACTCCCATTGTTATTCTTTGTGGTTATTTCTTGTGCAATTAAGAGTCTGTTTAGAAAGTCCTTTTTTATACATATGTCTTGAAGTGTTTTCCCTATTTTGTCTTCCAGTAGGTTTAATGTTTACATTTTAATGTTTAGATGTTTGATCCATTTTTATTTTAATTTTATCCATGGTGAGAAATAATTGGTCAAGATTCAATTTTCTGTGAACAGATAAGCAGTTTCCCCAGAACCACTTGTTGAATAAGTTATCTTTACGCCAACATATGTTTTTGACTCCCTTGTCAACGTTCAAATAGTTGAATGTGTCTGGGATGTTTCTGTATCCTCATTTCCAGTAATGGTAAACCTTTTAGAGGTTTCAGTGATACAGATAACTCACTGCAGCACACATGCTATAAGCTCACTATCAGTGATCTGTTCAATTCCATTGATCCACATAATCAGCTTTTTTTCCAGTACTGTGTTGTTTTATCACTATTGCTTTATATTATAGCTTAAAGTCAGGTGTTGCAAGACTTCCTGCTTTGCTCTTATTGCCTAAAAATTATTTTTCCTATTCTGGGTCTCTTTTGGTTCTGTATGAATTTTAGGATTGTTTTCTTTAGTTCTGTAAAGTATGCTATTGCTATTTTAACTGAGACTGCACTGAATCTCTATATAACAGTTTGGGAGAGTATGGCCATTTTGACAACATTGGTTCTGTGTATCCAAAAGCAGGGGAGATCTTTCCATTTTCTGCATTATTCTTTGTTTTTTCAGAATAATACTTTTCTTTGTAGAGGTCTCTTACTTCATTGGTTAGGTTAATTCTAAGGTACAGTGGATGTTTGAGTTCCAACCAGCCTCATATACAAACGACTTGGGTTATGACCAGAATTTTAGGTTTGACTTACAACCAAAGTCTTGAGTTGCAATCTGAATGCGAGTTGTATGTGCCATTGTAAACAAATTCGTAATGCCAGAAAAGTATACATAAGCTTATTTAAGCGTCAGTCTGAGCCTAGATGCATATGCTTGTGTTCATGATTTCAGTCAGTGCTTTACATAATTGCTACAATTACTGCTATCATAGTGGCCCCAAAAGGGCTAGAAAAGAGGCTAAAGAAGGAAAGGTAAAAAAAGCAATCACAATTGAAAAGAAAGAAATTGTGGAGAAATATAGTGGTGTTCATGTGACCAGTCTCACTAACATGTACTTGCATGTCAAAAATCCATCTTCATGACAATCTTATAAAGAAAGTATTTGTATAAGGAAGCTAATGTTGCTAACACTGTTATTCAGAATAGTAAGCCATGATCAGCAGTGTTAGCATGGATAAACAAAAGGCAGATGACAGGTTATAGCCTGAGTCTATACTTTGTGTAAAAGCTAGGGCTATAAATGCAGATGTCATAAATGATATGTCAACAAGTGATAATGGTAGAACATTTCGTGCCAATAATGGGTAGTTTCACAATTTTAAAGTGAGAACAGATTTGTAGCATAACTAGGCATGGTAAAGAAGCCAGTGCTGATAAAAGGGCTGCTTAAATTACATATACCACTTCAAAATGATGACACAGAGAAATACTTTTTGCTCTCTTCAAGTTTTCAGCTGTAATTTAACTGGCCTTTTCTGGAAGAAAATTCCCAGGAGAACATACTTTACGCACGAAGAGAGGAAAATGTCAGGCCACAAGCCTATGAAAGATAGGCTAAAATTATTCCTGTGTGCCAATGTAAATGGTGACCTCTTCTCTTGGTTTATCATTTTGAGGCCCTTAGAAAACATAAAGTCATGAAGAATAGGCTAGGGGTCATACAGAAATGTATTGTAAGAGCTTGGGTATCAAAACTGGGTCAGAGAGGCCTTTTGTCTTACTGCTAAGAAATATCTACAGGACAAAGGTTTACCACTCAGGCCTCTCCTCATCCTGGACAGTGCCCTGCTCACACACCAGATCTGAGAGATTTGGCTAAAGAATTCCCATGGCATTCAGTCAAATTCCTCCTACCTAATACAACTCCTCTAATTCAGCCTATGGACCAACTAGCTTCAACAAGCTATACAATAAGGAACTGTTCCTTAAGTGCTTCCAGATGATCTCAAATACAGATTTAACCCTTGAGCTCAGGAACGTTACAACATCTTTCCCTGTATGGGATTAATTGAGAAATCCTAGGCTGGTGTTTCTCTAAGGACACTAAGATCTGCCTGAAAGAAAATGTGGTCTAAAATTATGTAGCAAAGAGACTGTGAAGGCTGTGTAGAAAAGCCTGAGCCTTTAATTGACCCTGTGGTTGATGGCAGTGTCACCATAGCAGAGTCCATAGGCCTGCATATAGACAGTGGTGATGTTGAGGAACTGCTGGAGAAACACTAAGAGAAACTATCTACAGAGGAACTTCAGTAACTTCTCTCTGAGCAACAAAAGATGGCATGGAGGAGCTTTCTGAAGAGGAGGGGGAACACCAACAATCATTGCTGCAAAGTTCTTCTGAAATAAGGAAATCTTGGGGGAAAAAAGGACAGAGCTGCAAACATTTATAGGGAAGATCCTTGCAAATAGAGGAAAAGCCAATCAACAAAGTCATGTCATAGTACAGAACAGTGCCAAAGAAAAGTCAGATACAGACAAACTTAGACCAAGTTTTAAAAGGTTGGGGCCCCAGTGAGCCAGAAGTAGTTCCTGTTGGACTATGGACTCTCTCAAGGAGAGAAAAGACAAGAGGGCCAGATATATAACTATACTGATGATAATCAGTGGAATGATTTGTTTCATCTGTTGATAGTCACTGTTATTTTATATAGAAAATATGTACTTTCTCTTAGACTTTGTTTTATAGAAATGTTGCCTTTCTTAATGTATTTTTTCCATGCCTTTGTAGTTACATTTGCCTCACTTGTTTGATTTACTGTTCTTCTTAGCAAGGATTATAATTCAAGTGTTTGGTTGTAAATTTTTACATAGTAAAAGATTGCCATCTTCTTTACAAAGAGTTTCTTTACAATGAGTATGATTAATTTAATGTGTCTAATAGATATGTCTTTTTTGCTCCTATTTTTGTTAAACTTCCAGACTATTCTTGGTGCCATGAGAGACATGGTTAAACACAGAACTTCTATTTTCATTGCACATAGATTGTCAACAGTGGTTGATGCAGACGAAATCATTGTCTTGGACCAGGTAAAAGATTTATTTTAAAACTTAATATTTCAGAAATAAAAAATAAAACTTTTCAAAAACATTGAAAATGATTATAAAAATAAGAAACTTAAATATTGTTTCTAATAAAATACAGAATTTGTGTGTTTTTTGAGTGAGATTGAATGCTGATAGAATTCTGTTTTTATTCTCTATTGTTAGAAACTATGTGTGACATTTTCAAGACATTTCAAAATTTAAACATGGAAATGATAACAACTAGAGAACAAGAAACTTTTTACCTGAAAACTGCATTAAAATGCATCAAGTAAATCTCTAGCATGTACAACGACAAAAAGAAATATAGAGATAAATAGAAGAATTATTCTTAAGAGATCTAACATTTGACTAATGATAGTTCTAAGAAAAGAGAACAGGAAAATAGAGGGAAATTGGGCCGAGGAGCTAGCTTAGTAGAATAAGTGCTTGCTTGGCAAGTGCAAAGGCCTGAGTTCAATCCCCGGTTCCACCAAAAAAAAAAAGAAGAGGTATATTTAAAAGTTAAGGGCTGGCCAAATAGCTCAGCAGATTAAAGCACCTGCAAGCAGGCACAGGGGCCTGGGGTTTGATCCCTAGGCCCGCTGTGCCGGCCCCGCCCTGGGGTGCACTGAGATGGTGATTGAGACTGGGTGTGGTGGCATGTGCCTATAATCCCAGCTCTTGGGAGGCTGTAAACAGGCAGATCACTACAAGTCTGAGCTAGTAGTGAGACCCTAGACACCTTGTAGACCCTTCCCTAAAATACAAAAAAAAAAAAAAAAAGAAAGAAAGAAAAAAAATAGAGGGAAATCATTAAAGAAATGATACCCACAATATTACCAGAACTTCAGGACACAAGTTCACAGATTGAAAGGGAATACTAAATACCCACAACAACGAAGGAAACGAAAACCTGTATCAAGGTGTTATCATAAAACTTTAGGGAGCATCCAGATAGTTCAGCAGACTAAAATGCCTGCTTAGGTAGAGCACAGCATCCAGGGTTCAATCTCTGGCGTGCCATGCTGGCTCCGCCTCTGGGGTGTACTGAGAGGGTGATTGAGACTGGGTGTGGTGGTGTGCGCCTGTAACCCCAGCACTTGGGAGGCTGAAAACAGAATCACTATGAGGAGAATCACTACAAGTCCAATCTATGTAGTAAGACCCTGTAGACCCTGCAGACCCTGTACCAAATACATAAAAAAATAAATAAAACTTCAGAATTCACGAGGGAGAAGTTGAACTAAGAGATTACCTAATATAATTGATTATGAGAAAAAATAGTGGATTTTATAATTCAGGCACAGTCTTGAGAGATTTGCAATAGTGACATAGAAAACTAACCAAATGGGAAAATGCAGTTACTAAATCTAAGGAGAATGAAAAACTATAAATATATGAAAAATCTTAGTACCTACTTGATTCAACAGGACATAGTAAGGCAAACCGTGAAGCAAAATTTTTGTCATAAATGATGTTATTAGGAGAGTGAAGAGTGGAACAGCAGGAATGGGGGATGGTATAAGAATGCTGAATCTCTTAGGAAATCAGTAGTTAATAATCAAAACTGATAAGGAATAGTAGTAAACTATTATCTACTCACATAAAATTTATTATAGTAAAAGACACATTGCTGTTAATCTCCCTTAAAATACTTTCACTCTCTTTGAACACACTTCATCATTCTTGTCACTTTCTGAAGCAGTTGTGGAAGTCTTCTTTCATGTCTTTATTAGGTCTAATCAGAAATATGGTGAATGTTGCTGCTAACTACCATCTAGTACAAAGGCAATATTATAAAAATATGAAGGCTGGGGAGATGGCTCAGTAGAATAAGTGCTACTCTGGCAAGCACAAGGGCTTGAGTTCAACCCCTGGTTCCTCAAAAAAAAAAAAAAATGACAGTGTATCCTCACTAGACTTAATTCACTGGATAAGACACCATGTGACTTTTATCTCTTCCTTAGCCAAAATGACAATGAAAGGTAAATGCTTTAAGTTGATTCATCTTATTAGGAAGCCACAAAAGCACATAAAAACATGAAAAAATGTCTAGAACAACTTTAAAAAGTAGTAAGAATGATAGGTTAAATATGTTGAGAGGAATTAATGGTAACATGTCTGTCTTACTATAATAATGTTTCTAAAAATTTGAATACGCATATCTTTCATTGGATGTATGTGTGTTTGCATAATGTGTAAATACTGTGTATATGTAAATATAGTACTCAGGCATGGTCACAAACAAATTTTACTTATTTTGCAAAGAATATATTTATAAACATCTTATCATCCACAAATACTAGTAAAAATACCAAAATTCTTTTGTCTCCCAGCATATTTAAAAGTAGTTGTCAAAACACAAATTGTAGAGCAGAATTTGGAGTCTACCAGTGCAGCATTAGTTTAATAGCCATGGTTAATAAAAATAGCTACTGAAAAAGTAAACTTTGTTTTCTTAAAATATTTTATTTTAAAATACACATAAGGATTCAAGATACTATTTTTAAATCCTTTAAATTCCTATGTAAGTAGTAGTGCTCTTGATTAGAATATTTGCTGATTACAGAAAATATGTTTTACATTTTTAACTTTCCCTTTCTGCCCTTCAAAGTGAAATATGAAACATTTTTCAAAATGAAAAATTATAAGGCGCAGGAATACAGCTCAGTGGCACAGTGCCTGCCTGTGGGTACCATGTTCAGCTACTTTACCCTAAAAAGCAAGCATAAGAGAAACATAAAGATCATTTCAAAACTAGTACAGTAATTAAAAATATATAATCATTTATAACACTTACAAATGCTGTTACTCTGAGTAACTACTGTGAAGATTAACAGTGCACAATGTAGTAATGAATGTTACTCTATTAGCCTGTTTTGAAACGGTTTTATTTTTCTGTTTAAAAATAAGTGTTATAAATGATTATATATTTTTAATTATTGTAGTAGTTTTGAAATGATTTGTATGTTTCTCTCATGGCAAGCATGAGGTCATGCGTTCAATTTCTGGTACCAAAAAAACCCCTAGAAAATAAAAAAATCAAAATGAAAAATTAAGACTAAAGCTGTATTTTATTTATGTTAAAAGATGGTAATTGTATTATAATTTCATAGTCTTTTGTTTGTTCACTGGGACTGAGTAACAGTGACCTAAGTTTTTCCCACTTATACTATGAATAAAAAATTGATAATTGAGAGGAAAATAAAGTTCAAAATGTATAACAGATACTGTAAATTGGGAAGAAACTGTTTAAAAGAAAAGAGAAACTGTTATGAGGGCAAAGAAGGAGAAAAAAAAATTAAAAACCCAAAATAATTAAGATAGTTATATAGCTATACTTTCTCTTAGTTAATTGAAAAGAAAGGTTGGTGCTAATGCTGTTTGGACAATATTTCATGCATATATCTTGTACTCTGAGTAACTACTATGAAGATCAACAATGCACAGTGTAGTAATTAGTTACTCTATTAGCCTGCTTTGAAACGTTTTTATTATTTTTATTTTTTCTGTTTAAAAATAAGTGTTATAAATGATTATATATTTTTAATTATTGTACTAGTTTTGAAATGATCTTTCTGTTCTTCTTATGTTTGCTTTTTAGGGTAAAGTGGCTGAACGTGGTACCCACTATGGTTTGCTTGCTAACTCTGGCAGTATCTATTCAGAAATGTGGCATACACAAAGTAGTCATGTTCAGAACCATGATAACCCCAAATGGGGCACAAAGAAAGAAAATACATCCAAAGAGGAGGAAAGGAAAAAGCTACAAGAAGAAATTATTAACAGTGTGAAAGGCTGTGGAAACTGTTCCTGCTAATTCATAAGAGATTTGTTTTTCAATTTTTGGACTGCACATCAAGTACAATTCTATGGTGAAGCAGAATTACTGATTTAAAACAAAAATCATACATTCCCATTTTCTATAGCCCTTCTTTTACATAAGATTTGTTTAAAGGAGGATTTGAGTTTAACATCTTTAATTCTATTTGATGTGCTTTCTTTATTTATCCCCAAATTATTTTCTTGTTACTGCCCTAGATATGCTCAATGCATAAATTTTGTGTACCCATTTGAATTTACCTCATGACATTTTTTGAGGCCTGCTACCCACTTTATATCCATAACTGGATGAATCAGATTTGTTTCCAAGGTTTTAATTTTAAAACTTCTTTGATGACAGTTTAAGGAGAAAGTATCTTTTTCTTAAAATTATAGAAAAAGAATAGCTTAGGTTCTTTTTTTTTTCTCTTCTTCCTCCAGTTGAAATACTTCATTAATGTGGAAATTAATTTACGAATGTATTTAGTTAGAACATGTGAGAAAGACATCCACTTATAGTTTGGCTTTCTTGATACCTATAATTCAAGTTTTGGAAATATTTCCATCTGTGTACTGTGTATTTTAAAAGAAAAACTTGAATTTTCATTTTTTATGTAAAATAGTCTTAATCATATAATAACTTACCTAGAGATTAGGATTTTATCTTTCTATCAAATATGGCAATGTTTTTGTTTTGAACTAAGATTTATTCATTGTTCTTTAAACAATTATAAATCTTAATATGGTTTGACAGTTGCTATACTAACAGTGATCAAAAAAGATTAGATGTTAATGACCTTTCCTGTTTCTATCTAAAATGCACTCCTTTGCCTCCTAAAGTTATACAAATACATAAAATCTTGTGTAAATGTACATACATGTGTGTAAATCAGTGTTCAATTAAAAATTATTAAATACTTTTGGTAAATAGTAGAAAACCATATGTATATATGTTCAACACTTTTAATCTCTGTTCACACTTTATGCCTGATATAATGAGGAGCCCAAACAGTATACAGTATAATCAAACTTTACTGGGGGAAAATGTTTTACTTGTTAGAAATAATCACTAAACTGATGATAGATGTTCCTTTAGAAAGTTAGGCTCATCAGGCATGATGCCATGAATCTGTAGTCTCAGGATTTGGGAGGCTGAAGCAGGTGGATTCTTGCAAGTTTGAGGCTAACCTGGGCTGCATAGTGAGTTGAAGGTTGGTATGAACTATAGAGAGAGATTTTGCCTAAAAAAATCAGTGTAGTGTGCAGTTGTAGTTCCAATTTCTCAGGAAGCTGAGACAGGATGATCACTGAGCCTAGGAGTTAAGGCCAATCTGGGGAACATATCAAGATGCTGTCTCTCAAAATTAAAAAGAAAATAAAAGGGAAAAAGTTTCTCTTTTCCAGTATGAATTTGCCTTAACTTGTTGGGTAGTAATCACTCAGTTTGAAAAATTTGTTAATCTCACAAATTTTATATATATATCTTGAAATTTTATATATCAGGAGAGATCTAATATATTTATTTTCTTGGTTTATGGTTTTAAATAATTCAGTAACAGAAATTAATATGTTGTGTTCTATGTTGTTGATGTTGGCAAATAAATATCTCAACTTCTCTATCAAGGCAATTTTAACAGGTAATGCAGGCCACCAGTATATCATAGCTAGTCTTTGATACCAGAGTAAATTATGTGATGTGGGATCTTGATTTTAAAGTTGAAATTAGCTTTGGGATGCATGTTGAACTACAGAGAAAGCTTTTTATTTCTGTAGACATTTTGTATTCTGAAGTACTAGATATTGTTACTGTTTTCAAAAGGGAAAATAGCATTTCCTTTGAATAAATCAGCTACATCACTAGAAATGTGATTACAGCCTAGATAAAAATTTCTATCTCTCTTAATTACTTCTATACATTTCCAGTGATGCCTGTCAAAAAAAAATTAGCTTAGTTCCATAAATAAGATTAAAATAATTATTAGTAATAATTCCTTTGTAAGTATGAAAAGCAGCATTGAAAACAAGATATTTTGTGAAGTGGGGAACATTTAGTCCAAGGGACTAGCAGTGTTTTCAGCGTGGGGATAATTTCCCCACTAAGAGATTTGTTTTGTTTTTGTTTTTATTGTTTTGTTTTGTTAAGATAGTATCTCACTGCATAGTTCTGACTAACTTTGAACTCAGAGTGGACTTACCTGCCTCAGCCTCCTCAGTGCTAGGATTACAAGTGTGTACCACCCTGCTCAGCCACAAAGAAATTTTTACGTTGATTTAGTTTTATATGATTGTAGGTGATCTCTAGTCCATTGTGGCATTAATCAGTATTATCGGCTCAGGAGAAATTAAATTACCTGAAAACACAGTTATTGTAGGGGGTGTAGCTGAGTCATAAAGACATTTCTCTTAAAACCTCATTATATTAAAGTAGTTCTACACAGAGAAATAATGGATTAAGATGAAGAAAAAGCTTCCTAGGATGATTCTCTCATAGGAAATGCCAAGAAACAGCATGTAATTATAATGGTCTAATTTTTCATTATGACTTTACATATACAAAAGGATAATATGTATAAATTTTTAAGTGTTACAACAATTTTGTGAATGTATTGGGACTAATAGGCTACAATTTTGGATTTTTGGCTTCTGAAAATGGGACAAGGTGATAGTTATATTTCTTACCATAGATTCCTTTATTTTGAACACCAAAAATTTACTTTCCTCTTAGCAAGAATCCCAGTTTACAAAAACTAACTTGAAATCAAGGTCATTTAGGATCAGTTTTTAACTGATCTCAGGTACCTTACTGAAGTTTCGTAACACAAAAATATCTTGGTGAACAGAGGGACTCATTTGGAAATTTTTACAGAACACAAGTCTGAGTGTCACTTGAGAATTAACGAGAGGCTATTGGCATTTGTACATGAATGAACTCAAGAGTTACTTACTTTTCCTCTGAAGGGATTTGCACTTTTATATACCTTAAGTATTTTGTCCCTTCAATGTGGGCAAAGCTTAGTTGGTGAAGATGGCTGTTTCAGAAATAATTTTTACATTAAAGACAAAGTATTTAAGATTGTATGGTTCCTTTTTTCTAAATCATTTTGTCTCTTGTTGGCCTTCTGTCCTTCCTACTTGCATAATATATATCAACTTTCACCAGTGTATGTCCATAATTTTCTTTCCTTGGGACTTTATTTCAATATATTCTGTTTTGAGTTAGTAGTTGAAAGTATTTAAATATTCTTGCAATTGTAGTTTTCTCAAATTATAGAAAAGTTTGTTGTTTCTCATCCTTGAATATATACATTGTATAGTAATTTATAATATCAAATCAGATAAACTGGGTAAAACTGGTTAAGACAGAACAACTCAGACGAGGAAACCCTCTCCACAGTTTTATTGTTTATGGCAACATATCTGGATAATCATTCATTACTCAGTAAACATCGTGGCTTTCTGACTAGAAATTGTTGTCCAATTTTAACAACTTTTCTGTAATGCCCAGGGAAATCATATTTTATCACTTGCACATTCTAAATAAATACAACTAATTAATAGACACTCTGGGAGTGTGACTTTATAACTTTATGCAGAAGGTCAAAATTTGGCATTATTTCAGTGGGAAAGTAATTGTTTGCAAAACTCATAATTTCAGTAGATTGTAGTGATTTCATTTAGCATTAAGCTGTCATTTTAATGATCAGTTAGTGAATGATGAAACCATTGTAAAGTAGTACTGTGAATAACTTTGTACCAACAAATTAGGTGCTTTAAATGAACAAATTCACAGATACAAACTGTCAAAAATGACTCCATAGATTTATAATAAGTAAGGCGATTACTTTGGTAATAAAAGCTCACAGAACTCCAGGCCTAGGTGGCATCACCACTGAATTCTACCAGATATTAAAGGAAATATTATTCAGAGACAGAAACTGCACAATGTACTGTTGGGTCAGTATTCTGATACCATAACCAAAGACAACAGGAGAAAGCTTCACGATACATAGATGCAGAAATCCTCAACAAAATAGTAACAAAGTGAGTCTTGCAACATTTAAAAGGATTTCACAGCACAAGCAAGTGAAATTTGTCTCAGAAATGCAAAGTTAATTTACCATTCCATAAATTAGTACTGTAGACTCAATAGAATAAATGACAGTGCTGGCCAAATAGCTCAGTGGATTAAAGTGCCTGCAGGCAGGCACAGGGGCCGGGGGTTTGATTCCCAGTCCTGCAGTGCCAGCCCTGTTTGTGGGGCACACTGAGACTGGTGATTGAGACTGGGCATGTTGGTACACACCTGTAGTCCTAGCTCTTGGAAGGCTGTAAACAGGCAGATCACTATGAGTTCGATCTAGTAGTGAGACCCTGAACACCCTGTAGACCCTTCCCTAAAATTAAAGACAAAAATCATATGATCATTTCAATAAATTCAGAAAAAGCATTTGACAAAATGTAACATTTTCATGATTAAAAAATGCTTAAGAAATTACTTGTTAACGTTTTTCTCAGATGGGCCAGGGAGATAGCTCAGAAGGTCCCGAGTTCAATCCCTGGTACCACCAAAAAAATTTTTTTTCTCAGATGTCTTGTACTCTACTTTGAAGATAACACAGTATATTGACTTATTTTGCAGTTTGTTTTTTTTTAATATAATTTTTCTCAATCTGAAAAGTTAATGGAAAACTAATGATTTAACATACTTAATAATGAAAGACAATACTCAGCAATGTCAAGAACGTTGCTTTTACCGTTTTTATCCATTACTTTCCTAAATGTTCTAGTCAGGGAAATTAGGGAATAAAAACAAAGTTGGATGACTCTTCCTAATTCCAAAATTTAATTCAAAATGTGCAATAATCAAGATATATATGACATTGGCATAAAAATGGAAGTACATGTAAGTGGAATAGAACTGAGTGCAGAAATAAACTTTTGTATTTATGGAGAGTTGATTTCTCAAAACACTACCGAAATTATTCAATGAAGAAAGAACAATCTCTTCAACAAATGCTTGCTGGACAACCATTTACCTATGTAGAAGTTGGATTTTATATCATGTATAAAAGTTAATTCATTGTAGATAATATACTT